GCATTTCGAGTTAAGTGAAAATGCGAAATTTCAGTTCTCTTCCACAGGAAGATTCGTAATGATTCAGTAGATTTAAGTGAATAGCTTCGATAATGCCACGTATAAGGAACAAATCGCTCTTGAAATATGAATTTACTGTAGAACATGCCACGGAAAGGACGTCACGCCACTGATTAGCTGTATGCTCAGAGTCACAATAGACAACGATAAAAATAATTAGTGACATAATGTATACATGCTTTGTATTGGACGGCGTTTCGATTGCGCTACTGGCTTTGTATGTAACACTATTATCATTTAATTACTTGTTTACATGCTATATATTTGGAAAAATATCCTAATTTCCTTTCGATATTGACTTTTTCAAGACAATTTCATCATCAGATGTTCNGTCTCAGTTAGTTAGTTAGTTAGTTATTGGAGAGGGTGGGTTTCCCCATGCACTGAGACCTGTATTGGTCCATTGTGCTTCCCTCTATGATTTCTACCAGTCTCTATATCCTACCGGTACTAGTGTTTACCATCAGTCCCGCCCAGCCAGCGAGACCGGCTCTACTAGCTGAGAGGTATCTATAATGCTTCCCCCATCTACCGGAGGTATTAGAGACTGCTGTTGGGCGGGAAACGTCCGTTAATTTGGCTCAGTGACATCCTTTGGAGACATGAGGTTCTTTTACGTGCCGTAAAGCTACGACACGGGACCCACGGCTTAAAATCCTTCGCGGAGGACTTGTTCCCTGAATTTTTCCGCCCTTAAAAATTCGACGACCTCCGCCGGGTTTGAACCCGCGTACTTTGAGTCACGAGGGGGGAACGTTACCTCTAGACTACGGAGGTCGCTTATGTTCACACGTAACTTATTCTCTTCAGCGTAAAATATACATTTCAGTGAAAACATAATGATAGGTTTCGAGCAAAGTAAACACTTCTACGAAAGATGTAGGGACGATGATTGTAGGTGTAATAAATAGAGATACATGGCTTACAAATGAATGACTTTTGTACAATCAGAGGTGTCTATTGCTATAGACATAGCGGTTGACGTTAACTGTGAGTGACCGACATTTATGGAGTACGAATACAAGGAACATATGAAAATTGTAATCCTGTATTGAAGCATCCTGTTGCATTACTTTATTTAAAATTTTTATTGTACTACACAGTACGTCAACAATGCAACAAATTATTCCTTATTTCTCACATTATCACTTTCGACATAACATGTTTCGGCCCTAAATGGCCAACTTCAGGTGTCTTGTTGCATTGTTGACGGACTGTGTAGTACAATAAAGTATTAGAAAGCTGTAAAGCAAAAATAACCAGTAAAAACAACATTTTAAAATAAGAAGTAAAAGCGCTGCGTATGTCAGTAATAAGTTTAGCACAGTTTATCGAGTCAGATTGTGATGTTTAACTTGGAGGTACTGAAAAACTTGATGAAGAAATAACCAACTAATTAACTCACTAACGAACAGCTAATATCATCTTCTCAACTCGGCCGCCCGCGTTCAATCCAAGGCTCTCCATGCTGAACATGGCGCTGGGACACGTTTCCTCTGATCACTTTCATTTGCCTTGCCAATTCCCATTCAACCAAATGCTCCAGTTCTCCCATCTATCATCCGATGGTTCTTTCAATAGGGCATATAAAAATACCCCAGTCTCACCCCATCCTGACTGACTCCGTGGCTTTTAGTCCGCAAGCGAATTATACCGACCGAGCGACCGCCGCTTGTCTGCAAAGTTAGTGCCAACTTTAGCGGATAGAGGGTGTCGCGTGGTCAGCGCAACGTATCCCCACTGCCGTTAATCTAGGGTTTTCCTAAGAACAGAAAATCAAGGAAGCAAAAATTTTTGGCATTGGAATCTCAAAGTTCGACGTCACCCAAACAAAATTTTGTCAGTAGTCCTAATCGTGACTCAAATAGAATTAGCTCGCCACATGAAACATAATAAGCCTATTTCAAGATCCACATAATCTTATTATTTCACTAGTAATATTCTTTATGGTTTTTATTCGGCAAACCTGTGAGTCCATTCTCTGGTAACCGAATTAAACTTCGGAAGTCGAACTGTGTTAATAAGGGAGAGTGCAACATCTCCAATGCTATCGTTAGTCTCGAGTTGGAATTCGGTAATTGATAGTATCTTGTAAAAGTCTGCAAACAGTGCAATAAAGAAATTTAATGACCTGAGTGTGTGTTTCGTGCCGAGATCTAAGAAGTTGAATGAGTGGAGCAGCATGAGGCAAAAGAAAGGTCCAAGAAGAGCAAGTTTCCTCTTGTAACGAACCACCATCTATCGGGCTTGCACACTGCTATATACAAGTCAGAATAATTGATTGCAAAAGCACAGGAAACGCATGCAAACCAATAATTAGGAAATAAATTGTTCCAAACTGGTCGGAAATCTCATAAAAACTATTAATAAGGATATAAATTAATTTCATAAAGCGCAAGGAATAAAATTAAATTGACAACATACAGCCTTTAAAAAAAACCTATGCTCGTATGGGAAATTAACTGCTTGTATTTCCAGATATTTTCACGAAAACTTACGGAAACGAGTAATAGTAAAATTTATTGATACCGATGTTTTAAAAAATGAAACCAATAGAAACTACTTAACCCCGGCCACCTTTTACCCCCAAGAATATTCCTGGTACTCATTTCTGTTAGAGTCTGAGTCGATCCCAGGACCATAGTGCAGCTGGAAGGATTTAAGTTAATTGAAAAATTCAGCGACATCATCAGGAATCAAAACCGCGACCTTCCGACTTGTAGCATAGTGCTTCAGCCAACTACGCTACTGCGTGCCCCGACAGGCAATGTATGGCGTGAAATTATTCTATTTCTCTGTAAACGGTAAAGTTATGCTGCCCCTATAAACTCATTACCTTGCGGAAAGTGGTTTTAACGTAAATATATTATCATACTTATATAGAGGGGAATTTTCATCTCATCTTACCTATGATTTACGTGCACCTAAACGTCAATATATTACATGAACAACCTGGCAGGAACGTGGCTTGTAATGGCCGATTACATTGACAGATAATTGCGCGTACATATCTGTCAGCATGCCTCGCCACCTTTGTGTTGCGTCGCCCCCAAGAACAGATCTTTCTTAATAATTGTTTGTAGCGAGCACCCATATATTATACCTAACCTTTAACACCTGAACTCACACACATGCGGTACTTGGTAAGTCAAACTGGCTACTTGACTTTCTCTGTAAACTATTAGAAGTCGTATTTCTATCCCGAGAGCACAAACACGTTTAGCTCTTGGAATCCCAGAGACATCTTCTTCAGGTCCCAATAGGACAGATCGAACTAAATGCATTGGCAATAATTAGAGAATATGAAAAAAAATTGAATTAAATTTGCATACAAATTATTAATTTTCTGTGACTATATTGGAGAAATTTCTTTGGGCGTTTTCGGCTCCATAGAATTATATATATTACTTTTCGGGGCCGGCTTTTGTTTCTGTCTTGAGATAAGAAAATAAGGGTGCCCATCTTGTGGCCCCCCTTAAATAAAGCTACTTCAGTTTCTCTATAATGTTAGTGCAGACGAAAAATTGTATGTCAATTGAAAATTACAGTGAAACCCCACTGATTCCGATAACTGTTTTCTTTTGGGCATTACGACCTTGATGACCACATCGCCGCAATCAGCAAGCTGTAATAATAGACGCGTACAAAAGAGGAATACAAACCAAAATAAGTTTATTTTCAAACACAGCCTCAGTAACACTAAGTACATAGGCTACATAAAATCTTTTTCTAGGACTGATGTCAAAACTTATATTTTCAAATTTTATGGCGAGTAATTTTTAATATGATAGGCAATCTAGGTTTCAAGATAAAGTTTTATTACCTAAAAAGACAGGTGATGTCTATTTTGTAACTTCTCTGAATACATTTTCAGTAGCACTTGTATAATTCGGACTTCCAATAAACTGGACAAGGGTTCGCTCCAAATTAGTCCGAATTAGTGAGGTCTTACTTTAATTCTTTTTTAGGATGTGATACATGAAAGACAAAAAAACAAGAAAGACGGAAGATCTGGGACTGACCAGCGTTCACAGCTACTGCTACATATTAATTACGTTAATCTGAACTATATTACATCTCTCATATAAGAAATAATCATAAATAACAGAAACAAGGTGTAACATTCTGTAAAAAAAAATGAGTTTTTGTCCTTGTTACTTACAGAAATTAGTAACGCTTCGCAATGTAAACACATAGGCAGGCATTAGATTTACTGCTGAACAACATTGTTACACTGGCAACGTATATATATATATATATATATATATATTTTTTCCTTGGCACTACAGCCACAGTGGGCCTAGGCCTACCTCCATGAACTTCTCCGTTTCACTTCGGTTTCTCTAGATCTTACACATTCGGTAGGACTCCTTGGGCGAGTGATCAGCTCGTCGCAAGGCCTCTACCAGTACACAAACACAGAAAAACGCACACAAACATCCATGCCCTGAGTGGGATTCGAACCCATGATCCCGGCTTCCGAGTGACCGGCTGGCAACATATATATACTCGTATAAAATAAAAGTAAAGCTATCCCTGTAACAGACCGTGAAGGCCCATAGGGTTGTGAGACGTTGAGGGTCCCACATTATCTAGAAAATCGGCTCAAAAATGGCGGTAAGGTTGTCAGCCTTACGCGCCGGGCGCGCTTTACTCCACAAGAAATTATTTAATTAATTCCTGGGACTCATTTCTGTTAGAGGCTGAGTCGACACCAGGGCCATAGTACGGCTGGAAGGATTAGGTCAATTGAAAAAATCCAGTGACCTCATCGGGACTTGAACCCGCGACCTTCCTGCTTGTAGCATAGCCCCTCAACCTACACTACCGCGTAAATATAATATCTCATCTTAATGTTTCAAGAAATTTAGAATTTTGCTTAACGTGAATTTTAATTTTATTGATAGGAATTAAATACTAGTTGCCGAGATGATACATACCAATGTGCACCTTCCCACAATTAATATTCTGGAAGGTGTCCGCAGGTTCGCCTGACCCCTCGGGCAGTCTTTAATTGCAGCTGTCGGCATGGAGGATAGGGGCGTTCACTGTAGTGTCATATACGCGAATGCACCTCATTGGTTCCTGTTCATAGTACGCCACTTTGTTTGTGTAATTTGTTGGTTTCTTTTATCTTTTAGTGTGAAGAAATGAAGCGGGTAACAGACATGTTGACTTCCGGTAGGCGGGTTAATAGCGTGTGGGTACACAGAGGCTATTGGCTAAAGCATAAGCAATAAAGAAATTATTACTATCTGCATAATCTTAAGGTGATTATGAGTCCTATGCTATCATGTGGGACGAGCGAAAGAACTCTTCGTTTCTCATGCACTCTTACATTTATGTAGGTCCTAAGTAAGGAGGAGTAGAGAAAATGTTAATTTAAGAACTTATGTAATAAAAATTAGAATGAAGTAAATTGCAGCTGGAAATAATTAGGGTCTATATGTAGGGTAGCTAAACTATTAGTTCCCCTGCAGGCCAACATCAGAAACTTTGAAGTTAATTGTATAATGAATAATTTTTTTACATAAATTAAATAATGGAAAATTCAGAGGTCTATCTGTTCCTTTTGTGGGTCTACAAATGAGTTATTTTAAATAAAATGCCTGTACGCTAACAAAAACTTTACAACTGTTGAACTAGCTAACTTCATGGACCTGAGCCCTTCTTGGGAAGCTGCCAACTGTACAGCTACTCAAGAAGTTCCCAGCATTTTATGGAACCCGAAGGTTCATTACCGTGTTCACAAGAACCCTCATCTGGTCTCTATCCTCAGCCAGATCAATCCAATGCATACCGTCCCATTCTATCTCTGTAAGATCTATTTTAATATTGTCCACCCACCTACGCCTTCGTCTTCCTAGTGGTCTCTTTCCTTCTGGCTTTCCCAACCAATATCCTATATGCATTCCTTATCTACCCCATTCATGCTACATGCCCTGCCCATCTCATCTTCCCCGACATGATCATTCTCATTATGCTTGGTGAAGAGTACAAGCTATGAAGCTCCTCATTATGCAGTTTTCTCCAGCCTCCTGTCACTTCATCTCTCTTCGGTCCAAATATTCTCTTCAACATCCTGTTCTCAAACACCTTCAGTCTATGTTCCCCCCTTAATGTCAAGAGACCAAATTTCACACCCATACAGAACCACAGGCAAAATTATAATTTTGTATATTCTAACTTTTGTGTTTTTTGACAACAGACGAAAAGACAAATGTTCTGGGCTGGATGGTAGCAAGCATTACCAGAGTTCAATCTCTCTTCTTGTTTTCCTCTTTAATCAGGTTTTGATTTGTTATAATCGTTCCCAAATATCTGAACTGTGCCACAATTTCAAAACATCTGTTAGCTATCTTTGTTGTGTGTCATGATTTTACCCATCTTTCTGGTGATGAGACAGTAACATATACTTAGTTTTCTCCACCAGCCACCTTACTAGCAGCAATTAAAAGTTCCGTGTTTTTATTTACGGTATCTGTACTATCACCCAGTAGATTCACCATCATCAACATAGACCTGCAGCTGATATGTCCCATTTAATGTCAGTCCCACCCGGTTTTCCTGGGCCTTCCTAATGGCGTATTCTAAAGCAAAGTTCAGGAACAATGAAAATAAAAAATCTCCTTGTTTCAGACCATTCTGATTGGAAAAATTATGAGACAAATATTTATCTGTACTGACTTTACTATACGTTTCACCTGAACACATTTCAATCAGCCTAAGTAGTTTCATGGATACCCCAGATTCTACGTATGATTGTATTGTATAGTATTTCCGTTCTAACTGAATCATAGGCTTTCTTGACGTCTACAAATAGCTGATGTACTGTCTCATTGTGCTCCCATTTTTCCTCCAGTATCTGATAAATGGAAAATGTCTGGATCAGCAGTTGATCCGTTACGTTGTAACCCTCAATAATCATCCCATTGGATAAAATTGTGTATGACGTTGATAGCAATGATATCCCACGATAATTATGTACTACAGTCAGATTTATCGTCCTTCTTGTGAATTGGTACAATTATAGACTCCTTCCACCGATGAGGCAATTTTTCCTTATTCCAAACAAAACTGATGAGCTTATGGGTCTGAGACTGTTATATTTCACCACGTGGCTGAATCAGTTGTATACAAAATGTAATTCTACCATATAATTACAGGGTAAGCATGTTTCTTTGATATGCCCTTCAGAATCTTAATAATTAGGCTGTTTGTGTTACAAAGAGTTCAAGGAACTACATGTCACAGTATTATTGTGGCAAAGGCCTAGCCATAGCTCAAGTGGTTAGTCGCTGGCTTCCCACCGCGGCGTCCCGCGTTCGATCCCGGGTCTGGTCAAGTGGGATTTGTGATGGACAAAGTGGCACTGGGGCGGGTTTTCTCCAAGTACTTCGGTTTCCCCTGCCAATCTTCATTCCACAAAATTATCCATCATCATAATCACCCCTGCCAGGCTACAATAGGACAATCAGTGGCCGCCGTACCGAGTGGACCCAGATGGACTCCACCCCCTCCCAAACTAAGCGAATTAAAAAAAAATATTGATGGCAGGAAAGGAAAAGTTACAAAATTGTGGTACATAGGTTTAAGTGGCAGGATATTCAAACTATGCATTTTCTGATAATAAAAATTTGGAGAGGAACAGCTCTCCTGACGTAGGTCTCGATATTGATACGGATATGACGTTACTATAAACCAAACGTGCTTCTAAGCAATGAAAAAAAGGCTAAATGGCTAGGAAATGTATTTGTTGTATATTACGAGAAACACAAGACGAAACTATTCTATCCACATTTCGCGGGCGTGTGTAGACGTTTACGTGAGAATTTAAGCCACATTTGAATAAAAGTATTTCTTGTCTCATTCTTTCCAACAAATTCAAATTTGCTATTCGTTTCACTTCTGAGAAGCTTCTGTTCCCCATCGAATACATGAATGAGATGTAAGTGGAAAGATATATTTTTTCTTCACTCCTATGTTTAAAATACAATCACCGTTTGGTATCTATTTCCTTTTATATCCCTTTGAATAAGTTTTCAGATTAGCTACGTGCTACTTGTGAGCAACTATCTATGAGTCTATTTATTCTCCTTTTCCAGAAGGATGCAGTCTTAGTGGGCCTCTGTGCGCAGAAGAATTTTTCTGCCTTGTATCCCAGATAAGGCTGCTTGGTCGCCCTGTGCAGAATAGTGCACTGAATAACGAATTAGGAGCCCTAAATTAATGGAGTTAAAACAAAAAATGGTACCGTGAACACCTATGTAAAAATATTTTGTTTAAATTAATTTAGTGGGGGGTGGAGTCCAGCTGGGTCCACTATGCACGGCGGCCACTGATTGACCCATTGTACCTGCCCCGGGTAATAATGATGATGGAGAATTTGACGGGATGAAATTTGGCAGGCGAAACCGAAGTACTCGGAGAAAACCCGTCCCAGCACCACTTTGTCCACCACAAATCCCACTTGACCAGACCCAGGATAGAACCCGGGCCGCCGCGGTGGGAAGCCAGCGACTAACAGCTTGAACTATAGAGGGGCCTTAATACCTATGTAACTGAACAACTAAATCCATGAAGCGGGATCCTTCTTTATTAGCTGATATTCGCTCAGCTGTTCAAGAAATTTCCGACCACTCATCAATTTTTCTCGTATAATGCAGAAAACTATGATCTCGTTGCAGATTCTTCTGTGCTTTAATGACTTTCAGGCGGGAAGAATAACAGATACACATTTAGGACACTCGAAGTATGAACACGTTTCCATGTTCAGGACTATTGAAAGCAGCAATTCATCAACCAGGCCGTGCGTGCAACATCTGTCTGTTCACCAGAGGACTGCAAATTTACATCCAATAGTAATAGAAAACAAGAAGTTCTGAGAAGAACTAATCGCCTACTTTCCTTGGATGCGACACGGGCCGCATAGAAAACGTCTCCAACAATTCTTTTGTTACCTAGCAACGTTAGGGGAATACACAAACAGAGTCAATGTTTCTCCTTTGATAAGACATGGACCGCACAGAAAATGACGCGTCCAACAATTCTGCTATTACTGTCTGTATTCGTTGCTGCGAGAATATGTTTACCGAGCCGTTGCCTAACAATGAAAGGAGGTATACACTTAACAGAGCCTTTTCCTAATAACGATAGGTGGGATAAATATACGGACACACAGACTGCGGGGAGGGACTTAGGAAGAACACCGTTGATATGGGGATAATATATGATAATGGGGATATATATATATACTCACAGACAGCATGGGGATCACATAACCCTATTTTAATTTTTTCTGGATGTGACGCTTTATTTCTAATTGCCGTATACAGTGGTCGTCTACACAACAATTTTATAGGCACTAAAAATAGAACTAGGTAACAGGCCATGAAGTCCCATAAGGGTGTGAGAGATCGAGGGTTCAACATATTCTAGACATTCGGGTCATAGATGGCTGTAAAGTTGTCAGCCTTACGCGCCGGTCGCCCTTTACGCCCCAGGAAAATTCCTGGTACTCATTTCTGAGTAAAACCCAGGGCCATAGTGCGGCTGGAAGGATTAGGTCAGTTGAAAAATCCAGTGACCTCATCGGGAATCGATCCCGCGACGTTTTTCTTGTACAATTTATCTATCTATCTATGGCTCTACATCCCTTTCTTTGGACCTTGGCCTCTTTTTCTGTTTCTTGATCTTTTTACACATTTGGTATGACTCCTTGGACGGGGGATCAGCCTGTACCAGTAAAGTTAGTACCTCCTCACACATTTAAACCCCATTTTATTTTGTTGATTTATGGTGTGAATTATTCTTCTAACTTGAAGATAGAGACAATGCTTTTCTCCGGAACATGAGTAAATTTTACAACACTTCTAACATAATTTAAACACCAGAAGATAATACCGTTACAGGCATCGCAGTCGGAACCTCCAGCCCAAAATGTCGTGAGCTGTGCCTTAGAAAACTCCTTGCTAAACTCACAGACCGGGCAGTTTGTAGTACGAGTATA